ATTTTTATTTTAATTTCTTTTAAAATTTGTATTATTGTTTTTGAAATATTTTTATATTTTCTTTTTTATCCACTGAAGAGTTTGGACAAACCTCCCAACCCTGGGCCTGGCAGAGCTCAGCTTTTGGGAATGATGACCCCAGAGATTCCCTGAGGAATTGAATACCAAAGGCAATTAGCAGCTTTCCTTCCCCTAGGAAATATTTTAGAGTCCTTATTCTGCTGTTGGCCACACAAATCAATGAATGAATAAATAAATTAAAGTCTGTGATAAAATCTGAGTCCTGGGCTGGTGATTTCTGGCTCTGATGAGCATTTGCTTCCCTTTTCCACAGAACTGATCCTCATGTGCCAGGCTGGCATTTTCCTGGCAGGGACGGGGATTTATCAGCCCCATAAAAGGTTTGGTGAATAATCAAACCCAAGAATTAATGCCTGAGTCACTCTCCCAGCCTTGGCTGACTTCAATCATCGCCTACCTTCACTTTTCAGGCTGGCAAAGGGGCAAGAAAAAAAAAGGGGAAGACTAAAAAAAAATCTGGTTTTATTTTTATTTTTAAATTTTAAAATTCCGATATTTATTTCTTGATAAAAATCTGGTTTTAATTCTTAAATTTCAAATTTTTAATTTTCAAATATTTTTTTTTTAAAAAAAAAATCCAGTTTTCAAAGAAAATGAGGAAATGAGCAGCTATTGGTTAATAGCACCTAAATCCACCAAATTATTGAGCATTTCACATTGAGCTCAAGTAGCTCCTGAAAAGAGCCAACAAAACCAGCTCTGGGACTGTGAAATCATCCCTGATGCACACACAGAGAATTTTTATACTCACAGAATTACTTTGGTTTGGAATTCTGTTGTTTTTCTCCTTGCTGAATGAATCACAGGTGTTTTCAGTCTCTATTCCACAAGATTAATGTGATTTTTAGCTATTTTTAATCTATTTTTTAGCTACTTTTAAGCTATTTTCACTGTTTTAAAGCTAATTTTAGCTATTTTTAACTGTTTTTCTTCCTGATCATTGGGCTTTGAACTGATTTATTTAAATTCCATGACATCTGAACAAGCAGGCACTGATTTATCCCTAAAACCCACGGTTAACAAGTCAGATAAACCAAATATTGGCCTTATTTCTCTGTAAAATTTCATGGAAATTTCTCAGCAAAAGAAGCCACAAGTGGAATATGTTGACAAGCAAATATTTGACAGATATCTGCTTTTCCCAAGCTATTATTTCCCCCCACTTTAGTCTCCAGCTATTATTTCCAGCAGGTTTTGGCTCTGCTGAAGGAGAGTTTATTTAGCCAACCCTCAGGTTTACAACCACCTGAAAAGGAATTGTATAAATGTTGAAGTAATTTTTGAAGAGTTCTGGGGAAAGGCTGGGCAGTGGCTTTTGGGACAAAGCCAAGGGACTTTTGCAGGAATTGCCCTCAATGAACTCTCAGAGGACTCAGGGCCTTGAAAAATGCAATTTATTTTGAACCTTGCCACATAAAACCCAGCACAACTCATGGCTTTTTTGGGGTCATTGGGCACCCCCAGAGCAACACCCACCCGTGAGCTGGGGCTGTGAAAGTGGCAGATTCTCTTTCTGTTTTCCTGCCTCTTTCTTTGGTTTATTTCTATTTTTTCACCGCTGTTTATTGCTCTTCTTTTTTATCCTTATTGGGCAATCACGACCATAATATTGTTTTTTAATTGGCACAGCACCTCTGGCACTTGGGATTGGATTTCTGTGTTAAAAAACAAAAAAAAAAACCAGCCCTGAAGATAATTATCCTGAGATAATCCTGAAAAGCCAGCTGAATCTCAATTTAAATTTAAACAAATGAGGATGGAGGCCAAAGAGAGCTCAGAATTTATTCAAATCCCACGGACTGGAAGTGGTTTATTTTCACTTAGGCTTTGCAGCTGTATTTTTGCAACGGGAATATTTTGTAGATAGATGGATTAAAACATAAATTTTATCTCTGCAGCCCTGACTCTGGGGGAGGAGGAGATGTGAGGAGTCAAACCCCAAAGTTTATTTATGTGTGGGAATGCAGCTGAGGTTTTTTTTGGGTTTTAACAGAGGAGAGGGGGATAAATAGCACGCTGCAAGGAAAGAAAATAAACTGCACCGCTGGAACTGTGTCACAGTGTAAATGTCACCAGGATGGACTTTCACAGCTCTGAAGCTCAGCAAACAGAGCTTGGCTCCGAGCTCGAGGAACTGCAGCGTTCTGGGGAAGTTTATCAGCCCCAGGTATCACAGCAGGGCTTGCCTGGCTGTGGGAGCAAAGATTCCGGAGAAAAGGAAAGGTCCCGTGGGCTGGGAGTCACAACGTGCACACCTGGGAGCAGCAGGGATGGGATCAGAAAGTGGCCAAACTAAAGCCTCATTGCTGCTCACTGCTGTTTCCTACAGCCTCCCCAGCAGGGAGATTCATTTCCTTAATTAAATCATTTCAGTGATTTTGCCACAGCCTCGGCAGAGCTGTGAAAAACCCAACTTTTAGTCCTACAGAACCTCTGGGTAAGGGTGCAGAGTAACCCTTACTGGGTAAGGAGCAGGGAGAGCTGCTGAAGGAAGTTAAAACTGAGATTTGCAGCAGGCTCTGCCTCTAAAATGCTTCAGGTCTCGGGGTTTGTGAGGGTGAAAATATTTTTGGCCTCGGCGTAGAGCTTTGAAGGCAGGTCGGTGTGTGTTCCTCTGCCTCTAGCACCCAATTAGCTGCAAATGCCTTTCTAGAAATAATTGTGGAGGTTTCACAAACTCAGCAGCAGCAAAGGGACCCAGGGGCTTTCATTTACAACAAAGCAAACCCGGGCCAAATGGAGAATTTTAAACCTGCTGCTAGGTTTTGTGTTAGCTCCTGCTGGGTGATTCCCTGAGCTGGGTGAGAACCCAGACCAAACCCTGGGTGTTTATCCTGGGTTCTGCAGGCCTGGTGTGGGGATTTCTGCCTCTGCTTCTCACCCCTCACACCTCCCGGGGCCTGTGCTGGGAGATCTCCTTCTGCTCAGAAAAAACAAGACTTCTGTAAACTTCTGGGGCTGCTGATGGATAGAGATAACAAACAGAGATAATTAAGAGCTGGGACCTACCCAGACAGGATTCTCATGGGTGTAGCAGCTTCTTCGACCAAGCACGGAGCAGAGCAGGGCCTGGGGCCCTCCTGATGCCAACTGGGGAACATTTTCTTGGGGTTTTAAACCTGGGAAGTGATGTTTTATCCACTAAAATCTTGCTACTGAGCCAAATGAGCGCCAAAGCTGGGCCACTCAAGGAGGATATAAATATCTAGGGATGCCTGGAGTGACAGCCCGCTTGTTGGCAAGACAGAAGGGATTTTTTTCGGCACATCCTGCAACTCACAGGTGGTCAAATGGATGTTTGTCCTTGGGATGAGCAAAATTTTGGGGTAAACATTGATGAAACGAGGAGGATGAGGCTCCACAGTGCCATGAGAGCTCTGTTGTCCATGTCCAGTGAGACCCAGTCCTGCCCTCCTTTTCCTTTTCCCTGCCTCTCCCCACTGCTCTCCTTCTTGGAAGTGCCTGAGATTCGGTTTTCAGTTCGTGGGACTCCCAAATCCCTTCCAAAAGCTCTCCTCCCCACAGCTGCAGAAACACGCCTGCCTTTCAACTGGATCCTTCTCCTTCCAACTTCCCCCAGTCACAAAGCAAGCAGGAAAAATGAAACTCGATGGGCGAGACTGCACTGAAAGAACCCGAGTGTGCCAAGGGCTCAGCCTCTCCCTCTTCCCTGGCTCGGGAACTTGGCTCCTCCAGCCTGGCTGTCAGCACGTGGGGAGAGGAGTGGAGGGATGGGAAATGCAGAGCAGAGGAAATGGCAATATTTCCTCCTGAGGGGCAGCTGTTGATCCGTGCTCTCCAAATATAAAAGGGTTGTGGATTATTTTCTTCTGTGTCCAACTCCCCCCGCCACTTCTGGCTCTTTTCTTGGCTCCTCATCTTAAAAGATTGGATCTGTTTTGTTTGTCTGCTAGAGGGAATTAGTTTTGCTTTTAAATGTAATTTATTTTCTTTGCCTGCCCGTGGTTTAGTTACAATCATGGCATTGTTCTCTGCCTGGCATTATCTGTTTTAGTGGGCAGCAGCCCCTGGGGTCCTCAGCTGAGGATTTTGGGCTCTGGGAGGTGAGAAATTGAGCAAAATCCAGCAACCTTGGTGGGAAGAGTCTTTGGTGCAATCATCATGACTGTGCAGCAAATCAGGGTCTCCATGAAACATTTTGGAGGCTGAAAACCAAGCAGGGTTTGGGTTTCTGCTGTGGGTGAGGCTGGGAAGCAGCTGGATCCCTCCAGCCCCTTCTGCCAGGAATTTGGGTCCTGTAATCCCCTTTGGAATTAGTGGTGGGAAAAGGGGATGCTGGAGGATTTCTGCCACCTTAAAAACCAAACCAACAACAAAACCTTCACACACTTCTCAGCTTTGAAACTCTGCTTAATTTGATTTTTCCATGATGTCCCCGTCTGTTGTGAGCTTAGTATGGACAGAAAAGTACAGAAAAAACCAAGTTACTGCATGAAATAAATCTATTTATTGACAGGAAGGAGAAGTGAAACAACATAAAGCGACCTACTAACAATGCAATTAATGGATAACTGTGGTAGAATATACTGTAGAAATAAGTTCATCTCTGAGTATATTGAATAAATGTTATCTATATGAATAGTTAAATACTCCTGTCCTTTCACCTGAATGCTTCCCATGACTAGAAAGTTAATGCTGTATTATTAAATGAGAGTTTTCTATGCTTTTTAAAGAAATCCTATGAGAAAATTCAGGGTTTTTTTCCCCCTGCAAATGCTCATGGATGCTCTTTGTTCAACCCTCTGCTTCATCCTCGTGATGTGGGATTTCTTGGTCGGTTTTTAATGAAAATAAGGAGTTGGATCTGACCCTTCGATCCCACAAATGGAAGCTGAGCCAACCCAGAATTATTTATCCTTAATTGTCTTCAAATGAATCAAAAGTTGAGTGAGAACAGATGGGAGTTAAAATGCAAACAGAAAGAAGGATGAGAAGTGATGGGGGGACAGAGAGAAATAACCAGAGAGGAAAAATATCAAGAAAACCTGGGACAAAAAGGAAAAAAATAAAAGACTCAAGGTTATTAAAACATGAGGGAAGGAGGTGGATGAGTTATGCAACTCATCATGAGAATAACATATTTTTTATATATATATATATATATTTAATGAAATACTGAAAGATTATTATGTCTCAGACTAAAGCATATACAAAAGAGAACTCTTTAGCTGTTCAGGGCATCAGAATCACAGGATATTATCCAAATCCCATTGGAATTCACTTCAACACTGCCACTTCTCAAAGTTCATTCACCTTGTGCAATGTAGCTCTTGGAGCTTAACACTTGAGGAAACCCCATAACACAAAAATAACCTTTTTTTCTTTTTTTTCACAAGAAGCAAATGCAAAGGGTCCATTAAAAACATACCCCAAAATGCTGAGTACTCAACACTGGATCCTGCAGTGGCTTCACGTGGGAAATCTCCCATTTTCCTGAACAGGAGACACGTGAGGTGCTGCTGGATCAGTCATTTTTGGGGTTTAGGTTCTGTAAAAATAGAATTGCTCCCTATGTAGCAAACAGGGAAGTTTCATAGAAACCAGCGAACTCGCAACCAGAAGTTCAAATTAAATGAGAGTAAGTCTGGGAAGAAATAATTCAAAATAAAAATGATCTAGTTTGTAGTAATTCTACTGAATAACTTGGTTTTCTGGCAGTGTAGGATCATTTCAGCTCCATGTTATGCTCCCAACTTTGTGTAAAAAATGATCTTTCAAAAGCTGTTGTTATATATCTGAATTTTATAAAGGTAAAATCCTCTGACAGATATTTTAGAAAGGAGCTGACTCGAAACACTTTGTCCCAGACTTCACCTACAATCCACTATCGTTGCAGAATTCTGATTGCATAAATAAAAAGCTTGATTTTTGCTGAAAAAATATGCTCAGCACGATTTTTTATTTTGGAACTTCACCATGAAACTGCCTTAAAGTATCCAGCCTTGGCCAAATTCAGAGCCAGACTACAGAAAATATTAAATATAAATCATCAGACTCTGAATCCCCAGGGCTTGTGTTTAAAATGAGATTTTCAGTCAATCTGAACGTTGAATTTGGAGTGTAGAGACTGATTTTAGACTGAAATCCTCAATATTAGGCCGTGGATGGTTAAAATATTTTTCTTGAACTAAACATCTGCATGAAAATTCATCAGAGCTTCAGACTGCAGGGCAGCTACACCTCAGACCTGAGCAGAGAAGCACAAATTTGTGAGAAAATTAAAATCTAATCCTTCCTGGAGCACCTAACACTGAATTCCTGGTGAAAGCTGCACTGAGGATTTCCCTCATTTATCAGTTTTCTCTTTAATTCTGTCTCCAGGTGAGACCTTTCCAGCAGATATATTATAATACATTCTATATTTTGCTGTCTGTGCTGTGGTTATTCTCTGGCAGCAGGTGACCCACCAGATGCAGGTGATGAGAGTTCTCAGCATTTCCCTGGAAGGAAGCAAAGCAGCAAATTTCAGCTCAATCCCCAGGCCGGGTGTTCCTGCTAAAGCCACGGATTTATTCCCCCATTTTCTGGATTTATTCCCCCATTTTCTGGATTTATTCCCCCATTTTCTGGATTTATTCCCCCATTTTCTGGCTGCCTTCGGGTGAGGAAGGAGGTTTGCAAGGAAAATGAATTCTGGGTGTAAATCCAGAGGTTGGGGTGAGGTGCTGAGCATCTTTTCCATCAGCTCCATGCCGTGGGGGTTTGAACTCAGGGATTTTGGGGTTTTTTCCCACCCCAAATGGTTCTGTGGGGTGGCAGAGCAGGGAAGGGACTGGATTGAGCCGCTCCAACTACCTGAACTCAACTTCCCACCACAAAATACCTTTGAGAAGGACATCAAGGAGGTCTGAGGATGACAAGGAGCAGAGTTCAGGTAAGTTTTCTGCTGCTGGGGGAGCGGGGATTCCTCTGGGAGCATCCAGCATGCTGCAGCTCTGTACAGGTGAAGAGACCAGAAAAGTCAGTTTCCAGCTGAACTGGACTGAAATGTTGTTTTTTTTCCTCTGCTGTGTTTTCTCTCCCGTTGGGAGAACCTCAGTGATGTGAAATGGGTCCTCCAGTCTGTATTTCTAATTGAAATCTTGTTATATTATTACATTTATTCCATGTACTCTGGTGGGAACTTTTATCTGACGGAGGCAAAAAAGACAAAAGAGTTGTAACTTTTTTTTTTTTTTTTTTTAAGCACTGAATATTTGCTTAATCCTGGACAATAATCCTGGAATTAGACATTGCCTGTGTAGAGCAGCCATAGTTACCTCTTGAAGAACATCCTGTGCCTGGGGTTTTTGGGTCTGGAGCAAACACATGAGCTCTGTGTTCTCCTCGAGCCTTAGGCAGGCACTGGAGGTTTGACATGAATTCAGCACCTGCAGGTGACAGCAAATCCTGTGGTTGCACAAGGATGGGAACACTTAAGCCAGGGCAGAGATCCTATTGTGATCCTCACCTGCAGCTGAGGCTTTGCTCCCATCTGGAGCAGGCAGAGAATTCCCTCCAGGATTTGGTCTCTGCGGAGTCTGAGGAACCTCCCCGAGCCGGGGTCCCTGGCAGTGCAGTGGGATTCTGTCACCAGCACCGTGTGAGCAAGAGCAGCACGGTGCAGGGGTGTTAAACCTGCAGGGAACACCGTGGAAAACTCAAATCCAGCCCCTGTCCCCCTGCCTGGAGGCAATCTGGATTTATTTATCTGGATTTATTGCTTTGGGATCTAAGCCAAGCCCCCGCGCAGTTCACCCTCCCTCTCACCGTAGTGGTCAGGCAGATCCACTTCCACACACACCCCGTTGTTCTTGCAGTTTTTCAGGACCTGAAATGAAGAATATCCAGGTGGTTCCTGACCTTTGGCACTGCCAAAATACCCTTTCCTCCCCCAAATCCCTCTGTAACCACATCAGACCAGAGCTCTATGGAAAGCCCCAGGTGATTTTAAACACCAGAATGTGCATGGGTTGCTTTTAATCTGCTTTTGCCCAACATAAACACCCAATTTACCTCCAGAACTCTCAGATATCCATTCTCTGCACACAGGTGGAGGGGAGTTTTCCCAGAGCTGTCCTGCTCATTGACATTGGCTCCCAGGGAGATCAGGTCACTCACCATCAGGTGCTGGTTCTTTTCTGCAGCAAGATGTAAAGCAGTCTGAGAAGGGAAGAAGGGCAGAAAGTTGCAGTGAAAGGCAAATTTAGTTTAAAAACAACAACATATTTTAGATAATGAAGTGGGGAGCTGGGATTTTGGGGCTCTGTTCCCTCTTGTGCTCCATCATCCCCTCCCCATTCCCATTTTCCCTTATTTTCCAGGACAGCAGAAGGATGCTTGATGCTTGGCTGGGGTTTGCATGAGGGGTTGCACGTGATAAAAAATGACCTTTTTTTCTTGGCAAATCAGCCTCCTACCCTTTTCTCTGCATTCTTCTCGTCGATCTTGTTGAGGGATGCAAATCTCTGGGCCAGAGCAAAAGTCAGAGCCCTCCTTCCCTGGGCAACAGCCTTGTGCAGCAGCCTGGAAGAGAACTCAGTTGGGAACAATTGGAAGAGAAAGGAGTGGTTAAAACCCCCCAAAGGAGTGGTTAAAACCCCCCAAAAAGGGTGGTTAAAACCCCCCAAAGTACCAGGCAGAACGTATTTTAAAGCATAAAATACTAATGCTGTAAATACTGAAATTTGGGGATATTCAAGGGTTTATTACTCTCTACAATAAAATTGCAGTTGCTGGTTTTGTCTGCCAGGATTTCTTGCTTCCTCTCCAGGAGCTAAGCCACGATTCCTTGCTGCCCACAATCCCTGTTTGTGCAGGGAAAAGGTGCAAGATCCCTGAAAAGCAGGGAAAAAAAAGAAAGAAGGGAAAGGCTCGCTCTTAAAAGAAAAATTTCCCACCTGGAATTGAGTCCTGTGGAGGAGGAAAGCTCAATTTTCTGTCTGTTCAGTCTCAACTACTGAATTATTTTCAAAAATGTAGTGCCATTTAGAAAATTCAGTTTCTACTGAATTTCATCCCCAAAAAAACTCTTTTATTTTTATTTTTTTTTTGTCAAAAATTTGGGCATGTCTTCCTTTCCTCATGAAAGAATAATTAATGCAGATGTTGATTGTGTGTATTTATTTGTTCTTCCCCAATCTGGTAGAAAAATATCCTTAAATACAGCTGAACAACTCTGACACTTCTTGCTGTGTTTGGGCTTTTTTGGGGTGTTTTTTTGTTGGTTTGGTTTGGTTTGGTTTGGGGGTTTTTCTAAATGGATTTTTGATCCTATTGTTCACCATTCAGTAGAATTCAGAATGATCTTATTTAGTTTGAAATCCTGCCTTTTGAGTGTAGAATCTTTATAAAAGTGGGTTTAGGAGTGAGGAAACTTTTGCTTGTGAATTATTCATTAACAGTAGGGATCTCATTTCTTAATTGTGATGAATTTCGTTCACACATGAGAAATTTTTCTGTGTCATTTTTAAAATGGGAGGACATATGTAAATAGGTGACCTAATCGTTGTTTACTGAGTTATATAATTGCTGAAAAGTGAAGTTTGGTTTTATTGTTGCACTGGAAATCATTATTCTGAATGGAATAATGGAATGTTCTGAATGGAATAATGGAATATTCTGAATGGAATGGTACTTTAAGGAAGAGGCCAGAGCTGTGCTTGGTTTTCACTGTGTGGGGTTATCAGTATTTTAAATTTGGGTCAGGAATTTATCCCTTTTTCCCCAAGACTCAGATAATTCATAAATTATGCCATATTTTCTGTCAATCTGATTTGATAGCAGCTATCCCAATCTACCTAAACTGCATGGAACCCAATCAGACATTTTAATTTTTTTCTTGTAAATAGCTCTTTTCTCCACAAGAACCCCATTCCAGGGCAATACTGGGTTTTACTGGGATCAGGAAAAGCTTTGTTTTCATTTCCAGCAGAACAGCCACTCCCAGTTCTTTGGGATCTGTGCTCCAGTTTGTGTTTTTGGGTAATCCTCCCATCCATTGTTATTAGCAGTTAATAATACAAATAATTACCCTGAGACTGTCTGCAGCATGGAAAAGATCTTTTTTTGCATATCTTGTTTTGATTTTTTTCCCCCAGCACTTACTTTGCTTGATTTTAATTTTCTTGTGAATCCCTACACATACCTTAAATATTTCAACACCCTGAATTTATCCTGATACCAGGATATTACTGCAAATATGGAGTATTTCTATTTTCAATATCTGCCTAAAATTCTGTGTATTGATTCAAGCTGGAGCTTCCCCTGGAGCAGAGAAGCTTTTGATCAAAGGTCAGAGCAAAGTGATGTCCCCAGGGGACAGAAATCAATGTATTTTGACAGAAAAATTGACCTGTTGCCATTTTCATCAGGAGCCAGCAGTTTTTCCTCTGGGATGTTCCTCAGCAAGTTTTCCTCCCTGTGCAGCTGGAACTGGAAGAAGGAGAGGGCAGAGAGGTCCTGCCTGGTGAAGGAAATTTGGGTTGGCCTCAGATGTCCCTGCACATCTGGAGAGCCCCTGGGAGCTCCCAGCAACATCTGTGCCAGGCTGGGGAGTGCAGGCGTGTCCTGGGATGGAGAATTCCTCGGGAAACCTTCCTGGGATGGAGAATTCCTTGGGAAACCTTCCTGGGATGGAGAATTCCTCAGGAAACCTTCCTGGGATGGAGAATTCCTCGGGAAACCTTCCTGGGATGGAGAATTCCTCGGGAAACCTTCCTGGGATGGAGAATTCCTCAGGAAACCTTCCTGGGATGGAGAATTCCTTGGGAAACTTTCCTGGGATGGAGAATTCCTCAGGAAACCTTCCTGGGATGGAGAATTCCTCGGGAGACCTTCCCGGGAGCTCGGGAGAGCATCCTGCATCCACCAGCCGCTCCCTTTCTCGCCCGTCCTGGAGATCATTCCCGGCGAGCCGGACCTTTGGGTGCTTCCCTGCTCCCCATGGAAGGAAGGCTCTGCCTGTCCCCGCAGGATGGGGTGGAAATCTCCCGAGCAGGACCCCGGGTGAAGCTGCCTCCCCTGCGGGTCACCAGCTGCCTCCTCTCTCCCCACGCTTTCCCACCGGCAGCTCTGCAGATCCATGGAGAATCCCTGCCAGAAGCCGTCTGGCAAGGGCTGCCGAGGCTCCTCCCGGAGCTGGCTCTCCTTCAGATCCTCCTGCAGCACCTCCACCAGGATGTCGAGGTCCTCCAAGCCTTTGGGGGTTTGCCCAGCGCTCTGCTTGCTCTGAAACAGCAACAGGAGCCGGGCAGGGTGGAAGAAAGGGGAGGGAAGCAGACATGAAGTGTCCTGTTCTCCCTCGGTGCTACAACAGGAATTCTGCCCCAGGAGCCTGGCACTGCGGGGCTCAGGGTGTTCTGCATACCTGTCTAAGCTGCTTCTCTGTATAAGGGTGAGCTCTCCTCTTCTCTGCTGGAAAAAAAAAAGGGAAGAAAACGTTCAGAGCTGCGGGGAGGCACAGACAGAGCAGAGATTCCCATCAGTCCTGCCCCAGATAAGAGCCAGATAACCCGGACAGGGCGGTGATGCACAGCTGGCCGGCCTCCTGGAACTGATCCAGCAGGGATCACTGACCATGGGACAGGAGTGCTCTGGCTCTTTGGGTACCTCACACTGATGATCCTACTAGAAAAGGAGGCTCTGTTACCAAGTGAGGCGTTTCCAAACCTGTTTTTCCTGAGGATCCTTTGGTTACCATCTTCACTGATGAGGCTTCCTGAGGAGACAAAACCACCCAGCTTCAATGTGAGATGCTTACACCGAGGAGAAGATGAAACAGTGGCAAATATTGTAACATGAACAGGGTTAAATTGCCTCCTGTGCTATGGGTTTTGCTCAGCAGGGGCTGCAGGTGGGGAGATTTCCATGAGTGGGTAATTCATGGCAGCTTTATAAAGATCTTTACTGCAGCCTGGGAGTTTTTCAGCTCCTTGGGCTGACTTTGCAGGTTTTGGAGCAATATTTTTACTGTTGATTGGGCCATCTTTGCCTTGATGGAATGATGTACATGATGGATGGGTTCCTGCCATCACTGCCTTGGGACTGTTCCTAGCCCAGCCCTCATTCTGTTTGAAATTTGCTTTATTCTCCACTTTTACCAAAAGCATTGATTTGGTGGCTGGAGGAGGCAGCAGCTGCAGGTGTGAGCCCTGCAGAACACCCCGTGGGCTGTGACTGTGTGCACCAGGATGCTGCAGCCCTGGGAGGAACCTTCCCAACCTCCAGCATTTCTCACCTTGCCGGGAGCAGGGTCCAAGCCTTTGGAAAGTCGGATTTTCCTCAGCAATTCCCGCACCGGCATCTTCACTCTCACACCCATGTAGCGCTTCTGAGGGGGATCAGAGCTAAGTTCAGAGTCTGGAAAAGTCACAACACGATGCTGAAAGTAACACAATTGTCTGAGCTGTTGGAGAAGGGTGGGAGGATGAGGTCAGCCTGGGGAACGGGCTCTGATTCTGGTGTTCATCACCAGTTGTGGGAAATTTCCACATCTCCCTGCATGTTCCTTGGCTCTGCTCAATAACTTTCCTTTAATGAATCCCTCCTCAGTTTTCCTGAGTGCCACAGAGCGTGGATTTGCTTTTGTGGAATGTGCCAGCAGTGTTTATGTCTCTGCCCCTCTCACACTGTGATTTTCCTGTGTTGTGTTAAATCTGCCTTTGCAGTTTCCTGTCCTATGCTTTGTTAAATTGTTATCAGTGCAACAACAAGGAGCAGAATTTGTTCTGAGTTAAGATAGGGATGCTCTGTCCAGTGGCTTTCCCCCACGGCTCTCAGTGTGTTTGGAAGTTTTTGTCTGATTCAAAGCCAAACAATGATTTTCTGCACCGAAATGAAACAGTTATTTGAGAATATACCTCATTGTCCAAACAGGCTCTCTCTTTGTCAAAACAAGCTGCTCTGTGATTGTTTGTGTTAGGTCTCCTTGCATCTGGGCCCTGCATCCCCAAACTTGAAAGACTTGCCCAGATTAGGAGCTTAAATCCATTGGCTTTTGAAATACCTTTTATGTAACACTGGCATTCACATCCTTGCCTTGTGTGTCCCCCTGCTTGGAATAACCTTTATTTAAAATGCATTCAGCAACAGAAATTACCGCTCAAAAATTATGAATTTCATGAATCAGGGTTTTCCCAGTAAAATACAACACGGAGAAAGGCCCAGCTCCAAGGAAAGCCCGGGCTTTGGGAACCAGAGCGTGGGATCCTGAGAGCAGGGAGTCATCCAGCAGCAATGCTGGAGCAGGGAGAAGCTTTCTGTTCCCACTGCAGCTCGTGGCAAGAGCAATAAAAACAGCTCTTGTGATCAAACACAGTTCAGGATTAAACAACACAACAGCCTGAAATGAAAAAAGGTGCATTGGGCCAGCAGCTCTTGGTGCTGTTAAATAAAACATGAGGCACCTGAACCAATATTCCTGACCAAAATCTGCGTGTGCTCTGCTGGGATCTGTCTGGAGCCTGTGGAGGGGAACCAGGGGAGCTGGGCAGATGGAAATGGTGCAGCTCCTGGGATGTCTGAGAGGAGGCAATCCTGGCAGGGGAACCAGCCCCACAAGATGTGGTTTCTTGTTGCGTGATTTTGTTTCCCTTCCCTGCTCCAGGCAACGAGAGCTGACACCCCTCCAGCAGGAGGGAGGCGAATCCCGAGCAGCAAATGGTGCCTTTGGAATGGAGATGGGGTTGTTGTTTTGTGCTGAGATTTCTGGCACTTCTCAGTGTTTAACCTATCACTGAATAATCAAAACACTGAGACCTCGAAAAGCAGAGTTTGTTTCTCAGGCTGTTCTAGAAATGATTCCCTTTTCTCATAGATTGGTGTTTTGACAGTGAATTATTTACTGCTTGTAGAATATTTTAAAGGTTTCCTTGAGAAGCTTTTTAACAAGCCAGTAGGATTGCTAATATGTTGTTATCTGGGAAGAGTTTCCAGTGATGGATCAGATATATCCTAGATATTGAAGGACTCTGCAAAGGCAATGATTCCCCAAACACACTTTCCTGTGACTTTGAAATGTTAATAACTCAGAAGGTCACATCTACCACCTTGCTGTTAGTTCAGAACCAAACTTGCAATTCAGAATGCAAACGAGCAGCAGAAGGCTGGAGATGGACAGAAACGATGGAATATTGGGCATCCTTTGGAAACTGGAGCAATTTCTGACCTCAGCAGCAGAACACAACAAAATCCAGCCAAACCTGAGTAGGGGAACGTGCTGAACATCTCTGATATTTCTGAGCTTGTCTTGTGCTGCTCAGAGCCCCGGGTCACTGGGCTTCATCAGCACGAGAGAGGAAATGGGAATAAAGATTTTTCTCTTACCAGCAGGAGCAGGCATCCCTGGAGGTTTGCATGGAGGACGAGGGTGGTGGATCTTGGGACTCGCAACGTTCAGCTCAGTTAATCCAGAATCTGGCAGAGATGGGCTGTGCTGGAAGCAGCTCTTGGGGCTGGCAGTTTCTGCAGGCAGTGGGGATCCCTGGCCTGGGCTGTAGCCACAGATTTCACTTTCACTCATGTTTTGGTTCACCAGGAGCTCAGAACTCATGCAGACTGTTTGCAACATCTCCACTGTGTGAGTGCAGAGAAAGATGAGAGAGGGGAGGGAAAAAAACCCTGTTCAGTTGTGTTTAAAAAAAAAAATAAAAATATTAAAAATCAATCCAGTATCACATGGAGACCATGGCAATGTAATTAATCCTCCGATGTAATTAGCTGAGTCCAGCTTCCCTCTCGTCTTTGGAGCAGCAAGTTCCAGCAGGGGAAGAATAAAATCAGCCTTGGAGTCCCAGCAGGCACTGGAAGCAGCTTTTGAGAGTTTCTTGGCTGCAGTTCTGCTCTGCTCTTTATACTCAGGTACGCTTTGGAGGACGGCAGCCTGGGAAGGCTCCACCCTCCTTCCTGACAATCCTGAGCAGCTGATGAAGAAATGAATTTTCCCAAGAAAAAGCTATAACTGCTAGTTGAAAAAAATGGGGGTTTTTCCCCCCTTCTGTGTGAAACAGAAAAAATTAAATTCTGATTTACTGGGGAGGGAAAAGCAACCTCTGACTTAGGGTTGTGCAAGTGAGTGAAGTAGTAGGAGATCCTTAATTAAATCTTTTGGGAATTTTCTCCAAAGGGACTTTCAGCTGGGATAAGGGTGAGTTTTGTTCCCAGTAGCTGGTGCAGTGCTGTGGTTTGGATTTAGCAGGAGAATACTTTGGGTACCAAACTGATGCTGCAGTTCCTGCTCAGCTGTGCTTCCCCCAAATCAAGGAATTTTCCGGGGTAGGAGGTGCAGAAGAAGCCATGAGGGAGCACAGCCAGGACAGCTGACCATGGCCAAAGGCACAGCCCACACTGCAGAAGGCCTTGCCTGGTTATTTAAATAATTAAATATTGGAACTGGGGGATTGAGGCACCAATTTCAGGGCAGCAGCTGGTGGGAGACCCCCTTGTGTTTATTGTTTAATTGGGGTTTATTGATCTCTCTCTCCCCCCTCTCTCATTTCATTCAATTATTTCATTTATTAAATTGTTCTTATCCACGATTTTTCTACCTTCTCACGGCTCTCTCTCCATCCTGCCAGGGAGAGGGGGTGAGCTGGTGACTGTGGGGTATTTGGTGCCACAGGGGTTAAACCATGACAAATGGGAACACTTCTTATAGGAAATCTATTTCCTGGTCACCAGATCTCAGTGTCAGATCTAAACTCCATTCCCATGTCCCTGGGAAATGTATTTCACCTTGTGGGCTGTGCCATTTCAACTGAACAAGCAGATATTTCTCTTAAGTACCTAGATTGAAAAAAGGATTATGATGTTATCAGCTGCATCTTCTTCCCTGGCTGTGTCCTGGAAAGCATTCCAGATTTAATCCAGAGCAATATCAACTTTGACATCAGAGGACAGCCAGACTTTCTGGGGCAAATTTCAAAGAACAACATCACATTTGTGTTATAATTTAAACTGGGCAGTGACTCCTCTCCCTGACCTGAACAATCCCATCTCCTCCTTTCTCTGTGCTGGCAGCAACAACTCCAGGCTCAGGGATGTTGAAAGGATTATTCAGGTATTGATCAAAGGAGATTTGATGCTTGTAGAACAAGCAGGGAATCAGGAGCTGATCTGCATTGCAGTGGCTCTTCCCTGGCTCCCTGCCCCACAGATTATTGCTGCCAATTAATGGAGCTGGATGATTAATGAATGGATGAGGGAGGATGACTGGAGCCAGGCTTCACCTTCCTCTCTTGTCCCTGGGAAATCCCAGGGCTCTGCAGGTCAGGGATGAAAGCCACAGTGAGCCAACATCCCAGTTTATTCCCCAGATTGTTCAGGGGGAAGGGATTTGTTAGACAACCTTTTCACTTTCAAACTGTGCCTTGTCTGACACAGAGACAGCCACAAAGGGTGTCCGCTTCCTCTAAGGACACCCTCTGCTCCCTTTGGGTAAATATTTTCCTTCCATTTCACCTGCTTTACCTCTCTGATTGCATGTGTCCTGACTGTCTGTGTTATCCTGTAAATATCCTCTGCAAATCTCTAGCACAAGGCACCAGTTCAGGAACTCCTCCACGCTCACCGAGGTGGGAGAATTTGGCCTCCTGCAAACAGGAAATTACTGCAGTGACTCACTGCCTTTATTGGGCAGTAAATCACATCAGAGATTGCTCCTCTCTCGATTCCCCTCCAAACTCCAGCCTGATTGTTGGCCAGTTTTATCTCCTTGTTTATAACCTGTGATTACATTCACAGTAAAGCAGGAATTGGCCTGGGTTTGGCACAGGTATTGGTGAGGAACTGACCTTGCTGTGGCACAGAAAGGACCAAAACGCAATCTTCAGCCATGAGAAAAGAAGTGGATTTTCAAATCTAGCAACAAAACCCCTTGGAATGTGGACACTACAAGGTCTCCAAGGCTTTGTATTTGTTTAACTGGGAATTTTGTGGTTCTGCTTCCAACCTCAACAGGTAGCTGGCATTTTAAAAGAATCCTTTGTTGCTCTAATTTCAAACAGCTCTCATGAATCTTGCTCTGTGAACAGGCACTGCTGGCTGTGAGCTGTCCACCTCCAGCTCCATCCCTGTTCAATAGCAATTTTCACTTTGGACCCTCTAATAATAATGCTGCACTGAGTCCTCTTTTATCCACCGAGGCAGGGCAGGTTCCAGCTTGCACAGCAAGCAGAGGGAGATCCCAAAAATCACTTTCTAGGATTTGTAGATGCTGCTTCAGTCGCTGCCTCATGATTCCCACTGGAAGTTCCCTACGGACAGAACTGTTTAATTTGTTACCCAGTGAAACCTGGGCTGGGGAAAATAGTTTTTTACCCAAGAGTGTGGAAGATTTCTGCATTTTTAACACACTCTGGGCTTCTATTTTATAAAAGGGAGAACATTTCAAGCGTTGAAGGTGCAAGAAAAGAGGATATGATTGGGGGAGGGTCTCAGTGGCAATCTTCTGGGGCAAGGGGTGAGGGTCAAGCCAGGTTTGGGTATAAACAGATCTGAGCTTTTAGGAAAGACAGGTTTGCACTGTAGGAAAAATCACATGCCAGATCTTTCATGCTGGGAGATTTTATTTCATTTTTTTTTTCCTGCTTTGTGCATTCCTGATATCCTGATTAATTCCTGAAATCCCAATGCAGGAATTCTGATTCCTGCTGTATTATTTTCAGCAGAAATAGCCACCACCCTCTGAAGTTCTTAGTGAAAAAAAAAACCTGCAATGAACTGATTTGTGATGGGCAGCTCTGCAAAACCTCTCTCGGTGTGAACGATCAGGCTGTGCTGCCCATGGGTTGAGCTCCTTTTCTATCTTTGGATGGATGGAGGGTGAATCCTGTCTCTCTCCCCTCCTCCCTTGTTCCTCCACTCTCCCGAGCACACACCCACGTTAACAGCGTTTGCTGGGGTAGCTGTTTGTCTGTCTCTCCCTTTGGATGCCGGCTCTGAACCCACCTGACTGAAAACCCTTTGTTGCAAAAGGTTTCCTCTATTAAAATCCTCTTTTTGCATATTGGGAGGGGATGGGTTTGATTTGCACTGATGGAGAAAGCCAGGAGGAAGCTTTCCAGCCACTGCTGAGGTGACAAACAAGATACCAGGAGAGATTTTAAAGCTCATCTTTATGGAGAATTGTCCATATCTAAAGGTGAACATAATCCTGTGCAAATATACCTTGAGCTGAATGGATGAGGAGCATTTAAAAGGCTGAATAATGAAGTTATTTATAATTAAAAGCCAGAGTGGGATACGGGTGGATTTTCCCCTGGGAGGCAGAGCAGGGCTGTGGAGGCTCCATTTGCATGGGAAGCGCTGCAATTGAGATGTGACAATTCCGGCGCTGTTGTGACATCGCCGCTGGGTTTGTCACACGGAGTAAACATCCACCTGATTCATTACCTGGGCCAGGACTGGCCTGGGGTCACCTGGGGTGGCTGGGGACAGTGTCCTGTGCCGGGTGATGCTTCCCAAAGGAACAAAACCTTCCCCCGGGGGAGCGGAAAATCCCTGCTGAAGGCAGGAGGGCACAGTGGGGCACGGCTGTGATGAACCCCGGCATCGCTGAGGCTGGAAAAGCTCCAAGATCAGCGAGTCCAACCCTGTCCCCACCTTGTCCCCAGCCCAGCGCCACCTCCAGCCCTTCCCAGGACACCTCCAGGGATGGGCACTGCAAACCTCCCTGGGCAGCTCCTTCCAGCGCCTGGCCACCCTTTCCATGGGGAAATTCCTCCTGGTGTCCTACCTGAGCCTCCCTGGTGTAATTCGGGGCTGCTCCCTCTCCTCCTGCCCCTGTTCCCCGGGATAAGATCCCAAATCCCCTGGCAGGGACTTGTGCAGAGCCAGGAGGTCCCTCCTGAGCCTCCTTTTCTCCAGGCTGAGCCCCTTCCCAGCTCCCCCAGGACTTCTCCAGCCCCTGCACCCCAAAGGTGACGCTGACAATGTCACCGTCCCTCCCTGCTTGATCCCCATTGTTTCATTTCCAAGAATTGCCTGGAAATTACCTGTCCCTGACTCATCCCTCCTGGTGCTCCATGGTTACCTGCAAATGTTTTCCTGGGATCCAGAGCTCCCTGGCCACGGCACGGGTGGCATGTTCAGACTGTTTTTACCTCCCTGAAATCTTCCACCGTGAGGAAATTCCTCTTGTGTGGGGCTGCTGGGTTGGCTCTCACCCCCTCAGAGGGGAATCAAGACATTTCCCAGAGTTTTCACCCCTTCAGACCAGGGCAAGAAAAGCTCTTCTCCCCCAGGACATCATTTCCTAATTTTCATGCAGTGATCAGACGCAGTTAATTGTTCAGCAGTGTGGTCCTGAACTGCAGGTGATTAAAGGCCAAGAAATTATTTTAATCTGCCCAGTTTTGATGCCTTGAGGCATCTGGGGATGGGATTTGGTTTGCCCTTGGTGCAGCCCTGAGAATTATCAGTCTCCACTCGGAATGATGCGGCTGTGGGCTTGATTTTTTTGGGGATTTCTGGAAAGATGAGGAAGGAAAGGAACCTTGAGCTGCTGTAAGAGCTGGTGTTCCACATTTAAACCGTGCCCTTAAACCTAAAACTTTGATCACCCAATCCCAAATAGAATTGATCACCCAATCCCAAATAGAATTGATCACCCAATCCCAAATGGAATTGATCTCCCAACCCCAAACGGAATTGATCTCCCAACCCCAAATGGAACTGATCACCCAATCCCAAATCGAACCCATCACCCAATCCCAAAAAACACGCAGCACTTCCCAGCTTTCCAAATAATTTAGGATCAACCTTTTAATTCATCACTTTTCTGACAGTTTTTCACCGGTCTGTACTGCACAAATATCCGGATAAAAGTTTAAATTTAGAGGCCTGATAGGCATGGAAAGACAAAAGGGATAAATCTTATTATTAGTGGAGCATTTTGATGGCTCTTCCTTTGGGTGCTCCTCACTTTAATGCATTTTTCACTAAGGAATTTTTTTATTCAGGCAAGAAAAAAATGTCAGAAGTTTCCCTTGTTTTGGGTTTTCTTTTCTCCTGATTTCTTTGCCAAAGCAAACCTTTAGGAATCACCTGCTATGGTTTCAAAGGCAGCCTGTCTTTGCTTCCTCAGCTGATCAGTGCTGGGCTCTTAGCAAAGTGTGGCTGTTCTCCCAGAGCCCCCAAAATGTGAGATGGGGAGGAAAATCCATCCCAGGCTGCTGTTGGATGCAGCTGATGGAGTCCAGCCTGCTGGTGAGGAGTTTGATGAGCTCTGTGAGGGATAATTTCCATTTTGTGACGTTGTGAGTTACAGAAATGGCTCTGCATTCGCAGCGCTGTGGACTCACGTCAGAGAATGGCTGGGTTGGATGTGCTTTCAGTGATCACAGAATCCTCTCCCATTTTTCTTGAGCTCCTCATCCTTCCCCTGGCTGTAGAGGGGGAGATTTCCTCCTTCCTGCAGGGACAGGGATGATTATTCCATGATCAAACTGCCCTTCCTCCCGTGCTGGAAATTGCAGAGCCTGCCTCTCCACACGTGTCCTCACTGCCCCTTGGAAATCTGAATATTTTTATTTTTAGTGACAATTATTTTTAGCAGCCAAGGGAGGGAATGGAGTGGTTTAAGATGTTTCATTCTGCCAAGTCCTGGGGCCTGTTAAATTTTAATGGGAGTCTCAGGGTTTCACCTCCCCAGAACAGGGCTCAGGGATGTTTGTTCCTGGCATTATTTTTCATCCTGATGCCTCTAGGAATGAAGTGCATTCAGCTCCTGAGTCCAGAAATGAGTGGTGATGGAGGAACAATGGTTATTTTCCCTCAGGCTGGACTGGCTGCATGGAGAGATACAGGAAAAAAATGGGAATTAAACCCATGGAGCTTCTGGGGGTTTTGCTCTTGAGATGAAAACCAGATATTTGTGCATAAAAATTGGCCACATCCATTTGTGTGTGCACTGAAAAGAAATAAATGTTGATATTATATTTGCAAACTCTGGAAGGCATTGATGGTTCATCTTTCAAACAAATAACCTTCAGCTGGGGAGTGCTAGCATCAGCTCCAGGGCACCAGGGTGAAGGGATCTCCAAGCTCAGCACTTTCTATTCCTTCTGAAATGCAGATTTTTATTTTTTTTTTTAGGCTGCCTGGAGTGTTTAGGGAATTTCTTTGCTGTTATTTGGGTTGAAGGAGATTGGAGCAGGAAGCACAGGAAGAAATGGCAATAATTAGGTTTGGCTTTTGAGGCACGTTGTAAAATCTTTTTGTAAAAATGAAACTGAGTTTTAATTTGTGACGAGCGAGGAGAAAATCCAGGTCAGGAAAATCGAGAGGGAGGAAGATAAAATGCTGGTTTTATATCCCAGGTTGTGTCACTAGATGGTGCTGGGAATCAGACCAAAGGGAACCCTCGGCAGCAAAAAACCCACATCAGATCCCAAACAAGCTCAGCAAAAAGGGAAATAAGAGGAGAGGGTGTGGAAATGTAAGGTTGGAATAAATCTGATGTGTGAGGACGATGTGTGAGGACTTCCCCGTGGTTTAAAATGTGCAGAAGATGGCAGAAATACCATTTTTAATGCTTTTCCCTCCTTGCAAAGTTGATGTCTCAAACATTTGTGTTTCTGACGGCTCTGCTGGGAGCTGGGGCAAAAAGGGGGCGGAAGGGACAGGGCAGAAAGTGGGGCTGGACTTAGCAAAGCTCAGGTGAGAGCTCAGGTGGAATTGTTCGTCTCAAAGGACTCACAGAAGGTGGGATTTAAATGAGACAATTGTAGAACACACCAGGCCCACGTGGCACAAGAACTGCCCCCCTTTTTGTGTCCCTGCAGCTCACTGGATCTAAATTAAATGTGAATTTCATTTAGATCTGTCCACACCAACACCAGGTTTCAGCAAAGCTGAGGCCAATTCCTGGTTCAGCAGAGGATAAACTCAAGTTTAGGATGCTCAGGGTTAATGTTCTGAGAGCCAGAGCCACAAAAACACATATTTTTTGGATTCTGGGTGCTTGAGTTTCTGCATTTACAGTTGGGTGTTTTTAAGGATCATTTATCTGCTTTGTTATTGAAATACAATGACGTGGCCAGCAGCCAGGCCAAACACGGGCTCCTTCCAGCTCTTGCACAATAAATGTCTCCCTCACCTTTGAATTCCTGCCCTGACAGACTCCAGCACTCGGGATCTGCTCTTCTCTTCAGGGGCTCAAATAGCTTTTCTTGCTTAAGTGACTTTTTGCATGTGGACAAAAAGGGGAATTTGGGCCCCAAACCCCTGAATTTTAATTTAATTTAATTTATTTTTTTGTTCAAGTCCCCTCCATTCATGCCCTGCCCGGGTTGAGGTGGTTGGACAGCGTTTTTAAATCTGTTTTCTCTCATTTTCTACCCAGAGCTGCTGGTGATGAGGTGGAGAATGTCACGTCAGGACAGAAGGTTCCTCCCTGACGGATTTTATCTCCTGGCTGTCTCTGGCCTGGCAGGGATTCAGGGAAGCACTTAAATCAGGAATTTCGGGGCTGGCCTGACATTAACCAGGAGCTTGTGCAGTCTGAGCTGGGGGCCTCACACCTTTTTGTTCCTTGGGAGTCCAATATTCCCTGGAATTCCTTGGGAATCGAGCTGGTTTCGAGTTTGCTCTCCAGAGAGATGTGGTGCCTGAAATTCTGAGCACTCTCCAAGATTCTCCAGATCATCTCTGCCCAGAGAGGGGAGAAAACACCGAAATGCGAATTATTTCTATTCTATATAAGCTCCAAGGTGCCTGGATTAAAGCAGGATTTCCACAATGGGCTGTGAGGGAGATATTTCAATTAATCACAATTTTATTTCTGTATAATTCAGCCCCTTGGTGCTGACTTTCTTCTTTGAATGGGATTCAGACCACTTGTAATAATCCCTGATGGTATTTGCCAGAAATTTTATATTTCTACAGCCAAACCCTCCCATCCCAAAGCCAAAATCCACCTAAGCAATGTTCCTAAATCCCTGCAAGTCAGGGAGTCTGGAGCCTGTTGTTCAGCCAGGGCAGCTGAATAAAACCAGAATAAAGATTTTTGCCAAATTTCAACTGCTCTGTATCAACTGCAGGTGGGCAGCGTGAAAATTTGCTTATTTGGGGTTAATAATTAAAGCCTTACACAAGTGGGGAGAAGAAAATGAAGGCCCTAAATGCATTTTATTCCTCTGGAAGTCACAAACAACAATGGGGTTTAATCTGGGGTCAGGTTTCAGAGCCCTTTTCCCATACACCCAGATTATATTTCACTGCCAGTGGCCTCCATCCAAATTCCTTCAGCATCAGGGAAACGACTCCCACTGAGGTCATTTAA